CTGTGTACACAATTGTACACATCTCTATAAAGAGTACTTACTTATATATTACTTCGTATTTACTTATATATATATATATATATATATATATATATATATAAGTGAATAGCTCTATATAAATTTTTTACCATCATCATTATAAGTAAAATGTCGGGACCGAGAACTGGCAAAAGAATCCAAACGGATATAGCATTCATTAAGCAAAAACAATTCGGATATTGTCTTAATAAAAAATAAAACCAAGGAAATTCTTATTTCTTGTGTATCATTGTGAATGCGAAAAAATCGTGCGATAACACAGAGAAAACAGTCCTTTAAAACCACGAATGCATGAATTATGAATAAGTTTATAACAATATTAATAAATTAATCCCATAAATATGTATTATAAATGCAAAAGTTTGGATGGATGTTTGTTACTCAATCACGCCAGAACGGCTGAACGGATTTGGAAGAACTTTAGCACAGAGATAGATTATAGTCTGGAATAGCACATAGGTTTAACTTTTAATCCCCGAAAAAAGTACGGTTCCCGTGGGATAATTTGTTATTTTTTTTCACTAGGGACAAACCTAAGTGAAGCAAGCGTGAGTTAGTTTTACAAAATGTTTCACAATGATAGATTGAATTAAAGACTGGTGTCGACTTATTATTTAGTTATTACGTACAATAAAAATAATTTTGTCTTATGAGTTTCTATATATAACGCGCGGCCAAATGGACGAAAATGGACGACGAACTACCTAATTGAATTCGGTCCCCTTCAATAGTGCCATAAAGATGTGAATGATCATCATTTAGAATATAACGTTGAGTTCATCGGCACTGCTCGCATCTAGGGATGCTTCTTTATAATCAATTGAAAATAAATTCAAGTAAATCTATATATTATATATATGATACGAGTAAGATTCTGAGTTGAATCTGTACATGAAATATTTTTTTGGAAACTCTTATTGAAATAGTAAGTATTATCGATACAGAGACCGAATCTATAGATTGTAGAATTTTTGTCTGTCTGTCTGTCAGCCAAGGAAAGCATCACCAGAAAGCCAGTGGACAGATTTTGATGAAATTTGATACAATGCTAGCTGGTTATCCGGGTCAACATATAGGATACTTTTTACTGAGGGAAAATGTCTCATCTCTAAGAAAGCTATACTAAACTTTAAAACATAACTAGAGTCGAACCCGACCGGAGCGATGGTGAGTTGCTAGTAAAATATAAAATTATATTAAATGACATGTTAAAATCTTACAGATCTTAGGAGATTGTTATAAAAAAAAGAATTCTTGTATTCCCATCGGAAAGTCCCTTTGAGCTTTGCAAATTTAAGCTCTTTGGGGTCAAAACTCATTTGGAAAATAATTTTCAAATACATGTCAATTTAAACATTGACTAGATATGATAAAGTTAAATATTATATCAAACATCACAGATATGAATTTATATTTGAGTTAAAATTTGCATAGAGATGAAATGAATGAGAAAAAGCTTCCGTTCAAAGCGGGTACTAATTTCCGGTACCGCGTAGTAGAATGTGTTATTCGTATTCTGTTCTCATTGTATTTAACAGGGCTTATAACGAAAATATAATTTTACCTCAAAACTTTCGAAAAGTGTAACTTAAGAGCTTACCATTTACTGAAATAAACAAACACAAAATAAAAACCGACTTCAAAGTACTAAAAAGTGAAAAATAACTAAAGGGAGTTTTCATTTAGAATACTCGTAGATATCTAATCAGATATTTTCACAGTCGGTGCCAGCCGACAATGCTTTAAGATACGAATATGAATATCTAATAGGTAAACATAACACGGTATGAATTCTAAATATAGTTAAAATATTATACAACAATCTGTGATATATTTAGTATACGTAAAAAAAAATACAAACAGACAAACACAGAAGCTCCTACTTTTTGGAAGTCGGTTAAAAATGTTGCCTTCTTATATATATATTTGCTAAATACATAAGGAGTAGATACATCGAAAAAAAAATTATACTAACTTATCATATATTTTTTCACATGACACCCCTATCACATCACAAACTGGAAAGCAACGATTGCTCACAAAATTAGCTGTAACGGCCATCAAAGTTTTATCTTTGCTAATACGAGGCACGTGGGTAGGTACCTGGACCGTTTTATTGACCATTAAACTCGTGCAAACATTGTATGTCATTCCGTCTGCCTTACACTAAATGTTTAAGCGATTCTCTCAAGTACGATCACGGAAATTGATTCCTTTTTTTTTTGGTTCCTTAAAATGCCAGTAGGTATCGCGTATAAATAAAAGCTTTACATCAAATTTAAATAAAAAACGAAATTGTAGTATCTTTACTAATATAATTAATAAGAACGTCTATTCAATTATTAAAAAACTAGTTATTGTCCACGGTTTCGCTTCGCTTAATAATTGGGGCGGGGATTAGATATAGCCTATGTCCATCCCCAGGATAAAGTTTATATCTTTGCAAAATTTTATCGAAATCTGCTCAGCGGTTTAAGCGTGAAAAGGTTAAACAGATGTCTCGGTTGAGTTTAAAAACAGTCATTTTTTACCCCCGATGCATAAAGAAGGGTTTTATGAGTTTGACGTCGATTTCTGTCTGTGTGTGTGTGTCTGTCTGTGGCATCGTAGGTCTCAAACGGATGGACCGATTTCGATGCAGTTTTTTTTCATTTGAAAGAAAGTTTCCTTGCGGTGGTTCTTAGCTATGTTTGGTTACTATCGATCCAGCAGTGTAAGAGTATTAGCTCTTTTCCAAAATGATGTAAGGCATTTTGGCGTATGATTACTCGATTAAGTGCTTCACGCGTGCCAGTTAATCGTTAAATGACATTTAATTTGCGTAGGGGTTTTTTTCACATTTTTAATTAATTTTAGTATGGATTATTACATTAACACAATTTTTTTGCTGATTAGCACATTTTTTTACATGATGTTTGTGGCCATTAACAAAATTTAATATCTTAATTATAATAATTGAAATAGAAATAATATATTGGATAAAAACCATGTGTGTTGATAACTATAGAAGCAGATACAATGTTAAAATCTAGTTTACTTCATTGACGTGAAATCACTTAAATTTTAGTTCGATAAGTCGTTTTTAATCCATTTTTCGCAAGCATTCAGTTACATCGATTTCTTTTCACCATTCCATTAGGATATTGCCTAGCTACCAAGCACCATGCACGATTTAGGAATGTTACTCGCACTACCTTTCGTAAATATTGATACGCGATATAGTACAGAACGGTCAAAATTAAATTGAAAAGAGAATAGGGTTGCCGCTTATAACTAACCATACCACAACATGGTGTTGTGACTGATATCATTAACTTATATAAATGACTAGCGATTCACTATCTCTTCGCTCGAGTTCGTCCCTAGATACGTTTTAATGGCTAGTTTGAAATAGATAGGCTATATATTATATGATACTAGCATTGCCCGCGGCTCCGCCCGCGTTCAGATGACTAAAAACTAAATTCTGAGGTTTTACATATTAGTATACTCTTACATTGCAGGTTTTGTATTTTTTCTCAGAAATAAGACATTTTCTGGCGGTAAAAAGTATCCTTTATGTTGACTATATATGAATATATATTATGAATGTTTATTTCAATAAGATTTCTCAAAAAATATTTAAAATACAAATATCGGCTTAGTTATAATTTTTTTATATGTATAGAAATAGCCTCAATAAACGGTCTATTTAATACAAAAAGAATTTTTTAAATCGGATTAATAGTTCCTGAGATTAGCGCATTCAAACAAACAAACTTTACAATACATCTTAGTATAGATTGATAGCAGAAAACACAAATGCTCGACAAAAGTATTTGTATTCAATAATAAATATTACACATTTTCTTTAAGCCTCTGTTAGTATAATTTCAAGTGAAAACTTTTAAGCTCTATTTGTGATATAAAGATAAATCTTGACAAAATCGTTCTACATTGAAGCTAAGCTTAAAAATATTTTTACATTGTTTACAAAGATATATGTTTATGTCAAATATAACTCTATGTATGTATACTCTTTGTCTTATAATTATATCGAAGATCTCTATTATGTTACCTTTTCACGCTTAAAGCGCTGAACAGATTTCTATAAAATTTGACAAAAACATAGATTTTTTCCTAGGGATGGACATAGGCCACCGTTGATTCTCACCCCAGTCACCCCATACCGTAGCAAAAACTTTTGTTGATTATATACTAGCCTAGAATTAATATCGAACCCAAGACCACATAAACGATGAATAAGCCAAAATTGTCAAATAAGATTATCTTACTGTACCCTGGAACACAAACTTTAAAAAACTGACAGCCCAGCCCTACTTTCTAACTGATATAATATGCATAAACTTAAAGCCTAAGGGAAATAAATGTCTGATATGGTTTTTGCTTATGAAATGTACCCATTAATAGTGGACGAGGTGACTGAAATGCTTTCTTCTCTTTGGAAAAGCTTTTTGGAACTCACATTAAACGAAACATACATACATATGTATGTATGTATTGCTTGACAAGAAAATTTCCAATATTGTTTTGGTTAGGTTTTGAGCAAACCGATTTCGATGAGACAAGGGCATATATTTCAACCCCGTCCAGCTATAAGTCCAGTATAATGCTTAAAATAAACATACTCGTATGTTAGTGTAGGATTTTATAAAATAATTAAGAAACCTATACTAATATTATAATCTATATTATCTATACTAATATTATAAATACGAAAGTTTGTGAGGATGTATGGATGTATATAATGTATGGATGTTTGTTACTCTTTCACGCAAAATCTACTGAATGGATTATGATGAAACTTTACAATAATATAGCTCATACATCAAAATAACACATAGGCTACTTTTTATCCCGGAAAAATGTGCGGATACCGTGGGATAGAATAGTTTTTGTTTTTCTAGAGTATTAATAATATACCTAATTAATACCAAAATAATTAAAAATATGTTTCTTACCTTTCCTTCACTTTTCCAGTAGATAAAGAAGCCATATTCGTCGACTTTAAACAAACAATTCTGTTCAAACTCGGTGTTGTCTTTTTCCTCCGTCCATCTGTCAAAAACAGCGCCCTGAAAACAAATAAAAAACAGCTTAAGTTGGAGCAATACGGCTTTAATTAAGAGTGATAAAAAATAAAAATAGCATCGGTAAATTATTTTTTATTTTAAATACGCGATTTATCAATCTAATATCATATAATGTACGAGTATGTATGATTATACGTTTGGATCAGTTGGTAGTGACCCTACTTGATGTACCAGCGATCGCGGGTTCGAGTTCCGCTGGGGGAATTCATTTGTGTGATGAGCCAGAATGTTTTATTACAAAAATTTTATATATGTGTAGTGTATCAACTACCTGGTATCCATAACACAGGCATCGTAGCTTACCATGGAACTAGATTGTGGTGCGTGTTAATATTCCAACATATTATTTATATTGATATATATTAGGAAAATTTGTTAATGAGTGTTTCTTAACTCTTCACGCTGAAACGGTTGTTTAGAATGGTGGCCTATTATATATATATATATATATATATATATAATAGGAAAAAGTTTAATTGATCTCTGTCTGTACATGGAAGATATTTGAGAAAAACTTATTGGTGGTCTTTATTAACGCAACAGAACCCAAAACAATGATTTTTAGAATTTTTGTCTGTTTGTCTGTGCTTTTATGGGCGCTATTATTTTGGAAACGGCTTAACTGATTTGGGTAAGGTTTTCACTAATGTATTGTGGTAAGTTTCACTTAACATTTAGTTCGTGTTTCAATCGGTTCATATTTCATAAATAAAAAAGTTATGTCAATTTAAAGAATCACCTACTAGAGTAGTAATTCAATAACTTTGCTTTAATTCTCTTTCTGTTTAGTTTCTTATTAACTAATGAACGTTATACAGTTATAATTAGCGTGATAAAAGATAATAAATCAGTTTTATGTTACAATTAAGCATGTGATTCTACTTTTCAGCTATATCCATTTCCAAGAAATACGTACCTTTTTAACTGCCTTCTTGTTTTATTTAATTAAAAAGGAAACAAGGTATCAATCTTACGTGACACTTTATAGTTTAACACAAGAGAAGTTAAAACATTCTGGAAATTTAGATGTAACATGTTTTGTTTGATTTTGAATGCTAATTAGCCGACTGCGCGACGCAAAGGAGGGTAATGTTTTTATTACTCTATGTTTGTTTGTTGATATGTGGCGTTCTAGAGACCAAACGCGTACCGGTTATGATGATTCATACGTCGTTAGATAGTCTTGATAACGCGAGTGTCATAGGCTATATAAAAATAGTTAAATATTAAAATGGTGGATTTCAGGCGCCAATTTGTGTCTTTAAAAAAAATTCATCCAAACGAACAGAGTGGGGTATCAAAATAAAGATTTTTGAGAGGCGATAACAAAAATATATACAACTTACATATTAAACGTAATTTAGGATAAAAAATTGCTAAATATATCTTCAAATGTTTAATTGGCAAAAACTAAGTTGTATAATACATCTCGCGGCAAGGATGACACGTGTATGTCTCCGACAGCATAATGCTATTTCTTTTCCTTCTATTCCTTTCTATTCCTTCGTCAACTTGTTTTCATCTATTTAGTTAGTCTTTATGCAGTCAGGATTTTTGTTTTTATCATATATTTTTTATATTATGTTATGTAAAACCAGATTATGACGTGACAACGGAAAATCTTTTATTAATAATAAAAAAAAATGTTTGTATAAGGATGCCCATCATTCAATGAAGATATTCATAAGAGGCAAATATACACATTACACATATAAATGTAGAATGGTATGTGAATATTTGAAGTCTCGTAAATATACTTCAATGATCAATCCTGAATGCTTTTTATAGAAAAAAACTTTATTGCACATACAAGTTATATTGAAAGTTTCATATGAAGCGACGCCAATCGATCCAAAAAGCTTTATGAAATTGTAATGCATTCTGCAGATTTTAAAAAGAAACCTGGATTCTTTGCAGCAGAACTACATTCCAAGCTAAAATTGAACACAAAATTTTAAGTTACAGAATTCAACGTGAATGAATATCTAGTTTGAGTTAAGCAAAAGCAAAGAAAGATATGTGAATCTGATATTTATATATTATATGAATGTATGAAGTAGTATATATATATCTTTTTTAAGTAGGTCAAAAACGGTCGATGACAAGCATTTATTATTTATTTATATATAGGTACAAATTTCGTTACAATTTTAATATACGTATTTATTTCAATACAATCTATACATATAATAAATTTGTAACCAAGCCGAATCTGTACATTAAATATTTTTTGGAAAATCTTATTGAAATAGAGATTATTATCGATACAGAGACCGAATCTGTAGTTTTTAGAATTTTTGTCTGTCCGTCTGTTACCGCATCACAGAAAAATCACTGGAGGGATTTTAATGAAATTTGGTATGGTGATAGCTGGTTATCCGGGTCATCATATAGGATACTTTTTACCGCGGGAAAATGTCTCATTTTTGAGAAAAAATACAAAAACTACAATGTAAGAGTATACTCATCTGTAAAACCTAAGAATTTGGTTTTTGGTCATCTGAACGTGGGTGGAGGCGCGGGCAATGCTAGTCTACAAATAGAAGCTTAGTGATTAAGAGAACAAACCTAGTCTTAGTATAAAGCTAAATGAGCTCTTAAAGATATATAAGCTATGATAATACAGTAAACACAATCAAGAGTGTCTTTTGCGGGTTTGGAAGAAATCCTTATACTTGAGCGCTATTTTCTACAACCTTGTTAAATTATTTAGGAAATATTAGGTTGATTTTAAAGCCGATATATCAATAACATCAAAATAAAGGCAAAATTACTCTATGAAATGTGTCTCGGACAGAAATTGAAGCTGTACTTTCTGCTATAGTACTCTTAAATAGAAAATATCGATAATAGGAATATTGGGTAAGATAGGATTGAAAACTAAGAAAGGTACACCTTATGTCGTTACTATTATATAAATCTATTGATTTTTAATTTTTTTCAGTAAAATAAGATACGTGCATCCTCAAAGAACTGAAGATTAAATATTTTAGAATTAAAAAAATATGTAGACTTCGTTTCTATCGGCCAAGTAGATACTCTCTCATAGAAAACAAATCTATTTAGTGCTTATAGTCTATATAACTAAAAAACTTAAAAAAGACATGTTTTTGATCAAAGTTCCAGTCAAAAATATATTGCTTGTCATCCAGATTCCATAAACGTTCAAAGCATCAAATCGGCAATTAGAAGTAGCTTAAAATCGACTACAAAGATTTGATCACATAGTTACGAGTACGAATGAAGCTATTAAAAACTAGTTAAAAGTACACACTAGTGTAAAGCTGCAGGCGAGTGCTGCTACAGATATAGGTAAGTATAATGTTTTCGACAAACTTATTTTAATACTCCCAATATTGGCAGTGAACAGATTCTCATATTAATACAGCTTAGCAACTTCGTCTCCTGAAGTTTATGATGGATCTATAAAATATGATATGTATATTGACCGTTACCAACAATTAATGTATCAAGCCTACTCACTCGCTCGCTGCTTAGAGCTAATCCCTTAACTGATCTTACAATTAATTGAATTGCAAATTATTAAATGCTAGCCAAATTTTGCCCCTTCGCTCGGGTGCTTTCCTCGATGTAGGTACATATTTAGTTTGTATGTGAGTTTGTTACTCCTTTATACTAAAACTGCTGAACGGATTGAGATGAAATTTAGTATGTACCTACAAATAAAGTATGACCTGGCGTAACACACAGGCTTCTGATAAGCACACAACCGAGCGACGCCAGGGTACATCGCTAGTAATTAGTAGTCCATGTCCAAATATTTATGCTCGTGACTGTACATAACAGTCGGTATAATATAGTAATGGTTTATTTCACTGAGCACTATATTATACTATTTTAGTTAAATTACCACTATTATTGAATTTTAGTTTTAATTTTGTATCTCTGTTCAATTTTCTCTTTATTTCAAAATTATACTGATGTATTAAGAAAGCACTTTAATAGCTAGCCCCTTTATATATTTACTAGCGACTCACCCTCGCTTCGCTTGGGTTCGTCCCTAGGTACGTAGTTACGGTTAGTATGAAATAGAAATCTTTGAATTTCTCGGTTATTCTGTACTATAATATGCATGAATTATACATATAAACCTTCCTCTCGAATCACTATATCTATTAAAAAAGCCGCATCAAAATCCGTTGCGTAGTTTTAAAGATCTAAGCATACATAAGGACAGACAGACAGCGGGATGTTTTATACTACGTATTGATGTAAAACTTAAAATTCTATTATTAGAAGACAACACACGTTTTCTGTATTGTTCCCGTAATATATCCATTTCTACTGGAAATTGTTCCGTCTTTTTCCCACCTACAGCAATCTTCTCTATTGCATGTCTTCGATTATTGTGTAGCTTTTTATAAAAAAACTAGCGAGACACCCTAGCTCCGCTCGGGTTTATCACCTAGTTACATTTTAACGGTTAGTATAGATTTCTCAGAGATGAGATATTTTCCCGCAGTAAAAAGTATCCTATATGTTAACCCGGATAACCAGGTATTATCATATAATCAAAATCTATCCCGTGGTTTTCACGTAATGCATTCCCAGACAGACAGATAGACAATCAGACAGACAAACAAAAATCCTGAAAACTATACATTCGGCCACTGTGTCGATAATAATGTTAATAAAATTTTCCAAAAAAATATTTAATGTACAAATTACACTCAGAATTTTATTATATGTATGTAATTGTATAGATAAATAGATTACAATCGGTTCAGCAGCTTTAGAATTGTCATTTATAATATTAATACAGACAAATAAAAGATTATTTTTATAATAGTATACAGTAAGATATTGGAAGAACCACTTGACCTTTAACTTATTGTAATAGTTACGTACCTACTCGTATTACGATCGGGTATTAGATACTATAGATATTTAATATTTATTGTGAGTACTAATTGAATAGACTTTGTTTTCATAAATCTCTGATATAATCTATTAATATTGACTTAAGTCGAAATTCAATTACAGGCTCTTATAATTCTTCATAACTAATATATAGACTAAAGAAAAGAACTTTTTAGATATGTATATTGTACATACGTAATATGTATATGAGCGAATTTATTGTTACATTTAAAGTTCTAACTCTGCATTGTAGGTAATAATTAAATATTATTAGTATTATCGATATTTATTGAAGTTACAAACATTTAATAACTAGAACTAGTGAAAAACCTATGTGCTATTCCACACTATAATCTATCAGTGTCAAATTTCATTCAGATCCATTTAGTTATTCTGGCGTGATGCATCTACCTAAACTTTTGCATTTATATAGTAGTAAGATATGTACATATATAAGGCAGTGGTAACCCAGTGGTAACGCGCTCGCTTGGGAAACCGAGTGAAGCGGGTTCAAATCCCGAGTCTCACACCACTGATATTTCCATGTGCGAATCATTTCTAACATGATTACCACTTGCCCTACGGTGAAGGAAAACATCTTGAGGAAACCTGCAAGTCTGAGAGAGCACCTAGCAAGTTTTCGAAAGAAATGTGAAGTCCGCCAATCCGCACTTGGCTAGCGTGGTGGACTATGACCTGATCCCCATCGTACTGAAGGGAGGTCCGTGCCCAGCAGTGGGACGTCAAAAAAGGGCTGAATACATGTACATATATGGTAATGACTAGATGCGCAAAACTCAAGATTAACGGCACCCTCTAGGACCTATGTCCAACAGGCACTGAGAGGGGCCGATGATGAATATTATCAATAAATTTTCATATAATTAAATAATTAAATATTCTTCAAAAAAATAACAATTTTAAACTTCAAGCACAACCAAATAACAACATTGTAAATAACCCAATGCTAAACGGACTCCGACTCTACTTAAGACGAAAATAACGATACTTGACCCACTATGCTGCTCTACTTGCGTGGCGGGTATGGGTATGACTTTTGTAAAATATATACATATCTATACATTTAAATTTGCTAATCTTTTATTTCTAAGCTTCCACTGTAATAAATACGAAAAACCGTATATATATTTTATTATTCGTATTATCATAAATTTTAAAGGTTAAAATTTTGGTTAAAGAATTTGTGTTTATTTTAAAAGAAAGAGAATTAAATTATATCAATAGAAAAATGTTATAAATGTTCATAAAGAAATATGTGTGAACGTTGTCACTGTAGCAAAAGAAATATGTGAGCACTATACATTTATCAATTACTACATACTGAAAACAAGATTTAGAGAGGAATAAATAATGAAAAAAAAACGTTTTCGTTAATTTCACGAGAAATAGTTGAAATTAAAAAAATTGTTAGAATTTCGTGCAGATTTCACTGGCAGGTGATACAATGTGATACATAAATGGGGCTGCTACGCGTATATCGTAGCGTTCATTAAAGTAAGTGCAAACAAAGGTTTCCATTTCGTGGCTTTGTCCCCCAATGTTTAATTACCAACCATCGACTGATCTCGATAGTTAAAATTTACAGGGAGTTCCGAAAGGGTATTTTGGAACATATTAGTTAAATGGAATTAATTTATATATCTATTTGTTTTTATATTATACTAGCGCCTCTCTAATGTAAAATGTGTTTTCTAATCGGATTAGTAGTATAAAGTATAAAATGTCAAATATTCGCGTAAATCTAAGAAAGTATTATGACGAAGTTAGATGAAAGCGACATGATGAAGTTAGCTGATAACTGTTTGTTGCCATGGTAACCGTTGTTATTGTCTGACAAATGATATATAATATTATATTCTTTCCTTAAATGATATCCTATAAATATATGATTGTAATATGACTAATATGCCTTATTTAATTATTTTTATTAATTTATCATTCCTTTTACAAACAGAGAGCTGTTACGCCAAAGAAGTATCACTTCTTACGTGCGTACATAAGTACAAACACGTTTTTTTTATACTAGTGATCGTCACGTGGTTGAAAATCAACCATAATTCCTTAAGTTTGATCGTTATTGAGGTTCTATTCTCAATTTGACCACAAACTTTAGAAATAAACCAAGGAGTATATATGCGTGTGTGCGTCAAATACATGGTAGTGTGTGTAATGTTTGTTTTTATTGATTTAATGATTTTATATGCATAATTTAAAAAATATATTAGCATTCTGTATTCCTTCTCTATATAAACTATAAGTGTGGGAAATTCCATACTCCTCCGTCCGCACAATTTTCGTAAAAAGAGGTACATACAAAGTTTTTGCTTCACGTATTAATTTAAAGATAATATATAATATAATTACATACTCATAGTTAAATAATTCCAAACATCAGTCAAAAATACTCGTACATGTTATAAACAACTTTGCAGTTAATGACCGCGTCATGTTTTTTCACTTTAGTTCTACATTACAATATTTATGAATCAACAAATATCTATAAGTTTTTTTTTATCTGCCAAGATCTATATTATTTTTATATATTTATTGAAAGATTAATAAATAAATTTTGACTAATACCCGTCGGGACAAAATCGCATGTTATGGAAAATAAATATTTGTTTCAAACAGGTCTTGTACCAACAATCTCGGGTATACAACTCAAGACTATTTCGTTTATATTCCTATATTAAATGAGGTGGCATACATTATGTATTGCTATATCTCTAAAAATAATAGCCTATGTGTTACTCTGATGCATAAGCTATATTATTGTAAAGTTTCATTAATATCCATTCAGTAGTTTTAGCTTAAAAGAGTAACAAGCATCAATCAATCTTTACAAGCTTTCGCGCTTATAATATTAGTAGGATTACTTGTCCCGACTGACTGATTCATCATCATCAACGTCTATAACAAAGCAAATATACCTAAAATACTCAATTACCACTAAATAAGGAATTTTTGGTATTAAATTCCAAAGAAGGTTCAACAGGATTTAACTTTATTTGGAGCATAATGTTTAACCTGCCTAAACTTAAAACTTGATCCACTCTGATGTAATTCACAAACAATTTGCGACAAACTCACAAAAAATAATGAATTATGCTACCATTAGGGGTGGATATTGTTAAATGTATATATGGGACTCTTTAATCTGCCCTAACTTTATGTCAAATAAAAAAGCATAATGAAAATCGATTTATAATTAGTGAACATTTCGAAATAATATAGACAAAAAAACTTTACTAATTTGTGTCCAACTTTTAGAGTCAAAAAGAGTCAAATTAAAAAATAATAATATACCTATCGTCCAAAGTGCGACACTAGTTTTTCATTAAAAAAAATCGGACAAGTCCGAGTATGACTCGCACGCCGAGGGTTCCGTAGCATGAAACATTAAAGAAAGGTTTGGCAAATTTTATGATTCTAGGTCAACGGGAAGTATACCCTTATAAATGATTCCCTTGTGAGTGTAAAATATGCGACATAAACGGCCGTATCTTTTGATTTCGTTGACTTATTTATGACAATCAGAGTGCGCAAAAATTGACTGAAAATTCAATGTTCCATAAAACTCTTTCTACGAGTAACATTTATTGCTTTTATATTTAAGACGACCAATATACATTAGAAACTTATTTTGATAAAAAATAATAATTTAAACTTAATACTTCCACGCGTTTTGAGGAAAAGGACCTTGACAGACAGACGGACAACTAAGTGATACTATAATCCTATTTTACTTTTGAGGTACGGAACCCAAAAATAAGCAAATTCCTGAGCTTAAGCGAATGCCACCTAGATTGACAAAGGGCAATGAAACCATTTCAAAACAATAAGTATGGCACTATATGTACATAGTACACACATATGACATGTGTTCGTCTGAGCACGCGCAGTACACTGTCGTAAGGTGAGTTGACTTTGAATATAAAATCAAATTTTATATACCTAAGTCTATTGTATTTACGTGTCGAATTAACAAAATTAGAAAACGTTTATGTGTTATATAAAGATTTATTTTATCTATTTGCATAATATGCAAAAGTTATTTTTATATGTATATGTTGCATTAATTTGTACCTAGGGACGCACCCGAGCAAATCGATGGTAAGTCGCTAGTCTATAATAAATTTCAACATCAAGAATAGATATATAATAGGATTGTCTAGGTTTTAGTTCACTAACTTATATAGTAACACCGTACATAGAGCTCTCACCTGCAACAAAGGTTCCGGTACGGGTATCTGCCAATTAAACTCGAACTTCTTGGTCATGATGAAGTGCCGCTGTTAGCCCTTCGCTAAGCCTCTTCGGTGGGACTCTAGCAAAACGCCATTTCCTGAAACAAATGGTATAAAGTGTTAAATTTTTCGAATATTTCTCATTATATTTAATTTAATACATTAAAATTTTAACCCTTATCAACTAATTTCTTCAGGCACTTTAAAGCTGGATATTTCCTTCAGGTAATACGACGTAGTCATCTAGTAAACTATATACAATATACATTATAATAGAAAAAGGCAGACAGGTTTTTAAGGACGGGTTTTAAATGACTTTTTATATAGGAATTTAAACTCTGAAATTAGAAATTCATTATTCTAATACGAAAATCCTTAAGACATGTCAGAAGTCAGATCAAAATAAGTAGTTTCCTATACATTCGACAGAATGACGAGAAATGGTAGTAAGGTCACTAAACAGAAGCAAGTTATAGATTAAATTTGAAAGTAAGTTTAGTGATACCTTAAGCTGCTTTTGCGGGAAAGAATAAAAAAAAAGAATAAAAATTGTTCATGAAAATAAAAATTAACTGAACTGACAAAAATGAAGACGGTGTCTCATCTGTCAAGGACTGAGATTCCATTTAAATACTTCGTTTACGTTTGTTATTTCGCCCTACATTCGCATTGTGAAAGATCTAAAGTTTTAAATGAAAACATACTAAGAACTTCTTGACATGTTACATCAAACAGTGTATCTTTCTGTTTAATCTTACACAGCATCAACATTTAGTTTATTCAGTTATATTTACACAAAAGCTATTATTATCACAATACTTTCTTAGATTTACGGGAATATTTAACATTTTAAATGAAACTATTTTTTCGGATTTTTCGACTAAAAAATCCAAAAAGATAGTTCTATTATTATCAGTCTGAATAAAAAACATAAGAAAACAAAAGGATTTGATATTGTGAAATCATCTTTAAAGGTCACTTCATGTTACAAGTAGGTACGTTACGATTTATTATAACATCTTATTTGTGTTTATTACTTTTACCTGGAAAAATATAGTAAGAAGTTAATATTCTAAAACCGGAATATCATAAGTCATAAGGTAAAACAAATATATCATTGTACCAATCCATACTAATATTATAATTGTGAAAAATGTGTTTGTTTGTTTGACTTTCTTTCACGTCGAAACGGAGAGACGGATTGCCGTGATTTTTTATGTGGAGATAGTTGGAAGGCTGGAGAGTGATGTAGGCTACATTTTATCGCGGGAGATTATCTCACTCCCACGGGAAAACACCTTATAATACAACCAAAAAAAATGTATTATTATCAGAATTACTTGAAACTTGGTATTAATGCTCTTCAATACAATTAAAGAAATACCTACGTGTTTTAGCATTATTCGAAATTCATCCCATAAGGGGGTACTTGTAACAATCCATTTGCAAATTATAATTTGCAAATGGATTGTTACAAGATAATAGAAAATATATATTTGTATGCAAGCGTCTTAGCGACGGCCAGGAGAAAGTTGCCGCCCATGATGGCGGAAACGGTCCAGATTTATACAGATTATAAACAACATAAATAAAGTGACGTTCGAAAACTTATGATTTGAAATCTAAATTATTTGTATGTTAATATTGTATAATAATAATTATTATACTCTACACACACAATCGCATTTAGTACTTTCGCCTTGTAAAGTTACTAAAAATGAACTAGTGTCACAATATAACAAAAATTAATATAATATACAAAAAAAAAATATCTTTACTTCAGCTCTCCTCATTAAACTGCTGCTAACAAGATGACATGACACAGATCAGTCATTAAGATTGAATTTATTTCGGTCCCTGACCTCGCAGCCTCGCACATGACCTATATATCCAACGCTCCGTGAGCAATTGAATTCTGTTGAAAAATGCCAATTTACTGACGGTCAAGTCAAGGATCTTCTAATAGAACAGAAGATAAGATCTTAATCTTGTTTATTTACCAAGATCCAAGTCACGGAGGCTTAGACATGATGCCATTCTACAATCGTTGAAGAATAGAATGGATATATGGAATCGATATGTTAAAATTCCATGGCATAACGATTCAAATCAATTCAATTGACTAATTTTACAATAGAATATCATATTATGTAGGCTTTCTAGATACTATTATATTATAAACAGAATGGTTGTTTTTTCGTTTTACACGTCTTATCATAACGCGCTTAATTTTTGATCAACTTCAAAATAGTATATCTACAAATTTTTATATTAATTTTATTCAACATGCATATAAAATGAAGGTGATCTCGTTTAAATTCCAATAAAAAAAATCACTACTAGTGGTCGAATTATTACCTATATGTATAGCGGTTTTAAAGTCCGTATAAATACATTACATAAACCTATCTTTTTTATATTTTGATTTTTGGTTCCCGACCGGATGCGACGTTTCAAATGCCTTACAGCAATAATTAACACGGGAGAGACCAAAAGTTAGTTTTATTTAAATACTTGCGACTCACCCTCGCTCCGCTCGGGTTTGTCCCTGATTTTGTTTTAACATTTAGTATAGATTTCTCAGAGCGGAGATATTTTCCTGAAGTAAAAAGTATCCTGAGTGTTGACCCGCATAACCAGCTATCATCATACCAAATTTCACCAAAATCTGTCCAGTGGTTTTCTCGTGGTGCATTCTCAGACAGACGGACAAATTAAAATTCTAAAAACTATAGACTCGACCTCTCTGTATCGATAATAATGACTATCTCAATAAGATTTTCCCAAAAAATATTTTAATTTACAGATTCGACCCAGAATTTTATTATATGTAAAGATTCGCGTACATATAAGAAAGCATTCTTGATAAATAAAAAATGCGAACAAGTATCATCAATAGTATTGTTTATGTAATATATTACTTTAAAGCTAAGTAAAAATATTTGCGGTTAACATTCATTTTATTGACTGTTAAAATAAGTTTTTATTTCATAGTATTTCTAAAATATTAGTGTTTCTAATCTATACATATAATAAAATTGTAACTAAGTCGAATATGTACATTAAATATTTTTTGGAAAATCTAATTGAAATAGACATTATTATCTATATAGAGTCCGAATCTATAGTTTTTAGAATTTTTGTCTGTCTGTCTGTCTGTCTGTCTGTTACCGCAACACGAGAAAACCACTGGACGGATTTTGATGAAATTTGGTATGATGGTAGTTGATTATCCGGGTCAACATATAGGATACTTTTTACCGCGGGAAAATATCTCATTTCTGAGCAAAAATACAAAAACTGCATTTTAAGAGTGTACTAATATGTAAAACCTAAGAATTTGGTTGTTGGTCATCTGAACGCGGGCGAAGCCGCGGGCAATGCTAGTTGTCTTATAAATCTTGTTTGTTTCTTATAACAATATATACCTATATGTAATTTTTAATACATAAAATTTACTTAAAAACATTAAGTAATAACTGTTCCTTCCTTCCCTACATACATAGATTAATTTTATAAAACAAAAGACCACCGAAAATTAAACCTTAGTATCATCCATCACGTTTTTACCAACATTCACTTTCAACACAAAGTGTAGCGAGAGTAAATCACGAGACGATTAGATCTACAAGCAATTAACGTGAGACCCAACTTAGCCGGTCATTAACAGGCTTGGCAACAGACAATCTAAGAAATACAAGTATAATTGACATTAAGCTTCTGCCTAATACGCGTGAGGATATGTCCGTTTTGATAAAACTTTTGTTTTAATAGTAAATGTAGCATATAAGGTATATAATTTAACTAGATAATCTCCCGCGGTAAAAAGTAGCCTTTGCACTCTCCAGCCCTCCTACTATCTCCACACAAAAAATCACGCCAATCCGTCACTCCGTTTCGACGTGAAAGAAGGACAGACAAACAAACAAACAAACAAACAAACAAACAAACAAACAAACAAACACACTTTCACATTTATAATATTAGTATGGATGTTAATTTTTTTTTCTGTTTTATGCACTATAACAATTTTTTTTAATTATTGTAATCTAATTATGTATTTTATCGTCTAATTATTATATTTAAATGATGCATGTCGAGTTTACCTGTAAGTAAGTGACTTTGCATTTTAGATTTGTATTCTTAATATGGTTTCTTGTGTATGTATAAAATGTAAAATTGTTGGTGAACCTAATAAAGAGAAAAAAAAAAGTTATGATACGGAATCCTAATCATTTCGTCAAGTCCTTCTATCATAGCTTTTATTCCAAGGCTAGTAATGTAGCTGTTTGAAGTTGGTTGTATGTATCATAAGTGAAAAGCTCGAAAATGCTGTAGTGATATTAAGAAAAATAAAATTATCAGATTATGTATTGTATATGCTTCTAAAGTCGTAACAATGTGTCGTGGTCGTAAAGGAACGTACCCGTACTACGTGATCCGTTCAGGGGGAAGGGTCTTCAAAATACCACGATTGATCACGGGGGTGAGGAGGGGCGAGGTTTTCGTCACGTAGTCAATATCCTCTAGGGAAATCTAGGGCTTTTTCGAGCTATAAAACTGACTCTTGACGTCAAGCGGCAAACGCCGTTTCAATAAAGACAAATATGAACTAAATTAAGTTTTTTTTTTTACAAAAAATAATTTAAAACCATATTTATGAATTACAATGTGAAACTAGAGGGGAAGTCTTGGCACAGGGCGGTAAAAAATGGGTAGTAGTATATACTATACGTAGTATAGGTAAGTACCGTAACGTCGTATCGTGTGTTTTTTGTGTATAACACGGGATGCCTTCGCAAACTGCCAACCAATCTTCATGATTATTTTTTTAATTGGCTACAATTGCTAATGATTTCTGATTCTATACCTTCATATCTTCTAAGCTACCTATCATAATTTGACAAATGAAGTATATCCGTGATCATCCACTTGTTATAGGCTATGTGACGTCACATATGTAATATAGCGTCCTCTAGCGTTCATAAGTCTGTATTGAAACAAAAATATGTATAGAGTATGATGTTATCTGT